AACTTCATGAAAGAGTCCACTACAGAGAACCTTGGAACAAAGCAGGGGTCAGCTGAAGTCAATACCGAGTATGTCCACCCTGATCTCTTACACATGCCTTGGCATGGACTGGCACAAATGTCTCACTACACGCTGTGGGATTGTTTGCCAATGATTTTGGAGTGCCTGTGCCAACTCTGCAACAGCTAGCGTTCGTGGTGGCACGGCTTGAGTTTGAACCCGTCGTCCAAGTTCATCCCAAAGGTGTTCGATCGGGTTCATGTCGGGAAACATAGCGGGCCAATCCATAACACGAACATGATGATTGTTCAGAAAGCCTCTTGTCAACCTGACACTGTGGCGTCGGGCGTTGTCATGCTGGAAAACCATCTGTCGACGGACGCCATGTTGAGCCAGCAATAGAAGCAACACCGGACGAAGGATGGCATCAACATAATGTTGAGCGTTGAGATTGCCTTGGACCACCACCAACTGGGACCGGAAGTTGACGTTGATAGCGGCCCAAACCATGACGCCACCTCCCCCGAAACGATCCCTTTCCAGCACGCAGTTACGAACAAAGCGTTCATGTCGACGTCGGTAGATACGGTGACGTCCATCAGGAAAACTGAGGTTGAATCGGGATCCATCCGGGAAGATGACATTTCGCCATGGTGTGTTGTGCAGATACATTGATTTGCGGCCCATTGCTGTCTGGCAAATCGATGACGATGCAAAAGGGTTTGACCTTGGTAAGGTCGACGGCACCGTAACCCAAGAGCAGCCAGGCGCCTTTGGATTGTTTGAGGGCTGATCTGATGTTGCCGTGTTCCACAGTTCCCCTGCCAGAAGCAGTAGCTGACTGGAACCTGTTGCGCAGATGCTGTAGTCGGATGTGGCGATCTTGAGCAGCGGTTGTTACAGGTGGCGCTCCAGGTCGGGGTCGATCGGCAACTCTTCCAGTGGCGTGGAAGCGTTGTCTGAGGCGAGCAATGGTCGATGGGTGGACATTAAAGTGTCTGGCGACGGCTACCTGTGAAACCCCCTGATAAAGCATGCCAATAGCTCTGTTCCTGTTTTCTTGTGTAAGGCGTGGCATTTTTCCGAAGTGATAGATGTTGAAATTTTGATCTGTATTTAAAGGGCCAAAGTTCGGGGAAAATGTGTGACATGGGACTGCTTAAAATCGTGAAAAAAAGACATGGTGTTGCGTTTACACGAACAAAGTTCATTACCGAGAACTGATATTGGGTTCAAAACCAGAACTCCACAAAAAGAGACCCATCACATGTTTCACCTATGTGCCATAAGATAGGAAAGCCCAAGAAAACGTTTACCAGAAATATTTCACTAATTAGGCATTGCGTTTTTAATGGCTTTGAGTGTATGTTTGGGAGCAGGTAAATGAATCATTGACAGTTGAAATTCAAAATTTAGAGCAGGCCATAGGACTGCTACCCGGACATAATTTTCATCACAGCACACTGCATAATGTTTATCCATCTTCTTTATCCCGGTTGAAGCAGAACATTCGGACGTTAAACCCCATTTCATTTCACACCTTATAACTTTCAGTTTTCGAGTCGTACAATTTATAAAGCCTGTTTCCCGTGTACGCGTTTTCGCGGAGCTCCCATGCACATTTTCGCCAGTTACATGGAAACGGCCTCATTACATTTGCATTAGACCAACTTTTTTGTCAACAAAAACGCAGGTATGGAAAACGGGCCTTATATATTGAATATAATATCCAAAATTCATTATTCTTATTTAGAGGGATTTTTTTATTTAACTTCAATTTTTCGCTTTTCAGTGATTATTATAGAAGACACAATGGTGTATCTGTCGTCTATATGAATGGACGTAACCACGACCCGTAACATCCTCCACTGTACTCATCTCTCTATCGTCTTTGATTATAGTTTCTTTAAAAATCATTCATCTGAAGAAATCATGGGTCTGTAACTTCACATAATTACTTTTTGACGTTTGGAATCTTTTCATTTTCTTAATTTCTATCTTTGTTACGGGCTATCAAACATTCCTGAATATCCCTGTCAAACACGTGCAATTACTCTTGTAAAGTGTAGACCACTGAAGTCATTTACGAATGAAAATATATCCTTTTCAGATCCTATATTATATGTACAGCCATTCTCACAAGTCGGAAAAGTTACTCAATTTGAGTTTCAGAAATATCTCAACTGTCAACGTAACAACACACACTTGCTAAAATAACCGTTATTATGTAACACGGGGTCATCGACCATTGTCAAACTCAGGTCACAAGGCTTAAATTCTTTTAAACAAAATGGTAACAAATATCCAAGTTGTTGTGTAATTATTATTAATGACTATTGAAGACAGTTAACAATTAATGGAAGGCACCTAGGTTGTGTGTAGAACTACGTGTTGACTTTCAGATTGTTATTTTGACACATATGTGAGATCGGTATATTAATGAAAGGGTTTGACCGTGGTAAAAAGCCCAAGAATACAGTACATTATTGCCTATATTTCGGGACAAAGGGCACAATTTGGGGTCAATAAATTCGGACAAAAATTGTATACAGGCCCGCTTGTCATAATGTGTCCATAATAATACACCTGACTTAAACATATATTATGCAAGAGTTAAATCTGCCTATTGCAGTTACTTCTTTAGGCCTGAAATGTTATTTAAATTATTAATTAGACATTAATTAACTTGTCAATTAGGTTCCGATTTGCTGTCCGACTTTCATTCATGATTAAATCATGAAATGGATAATCGAGATTATGTTTGTTATCGTACTTTAGTAATGATGATCGAGGCTAGGTCGAAAAATTCAATCTCTAAAATTTCAGTTCAGAGTGGATCAATTTGACTGAAATTTTCAGCAAATTCCCTTTACATTATCTATTTTTAACTATTATACCCAAAACTGCCAGCTTTTTTTATCAAATCTCCCATAATGTATCTTTAATGTTGTGCAAGGGGTTTTGTGCAGTTTGAACTAAACTATTGTCTAAAGTTGACCATTTATAGGAGTAAGCTAGGATGATTTTATCGCACCACATAATCTATATTCGTGTAGTGTGTTTAAGATCACATGCGCATCTCGATAATCGCACTAAACCGTTTCCAAAGCAAGGCAATGAGGATTAACATCATAATGTTCTACTTCAACAGGACTGATGATGGCGGTCATACAAATGAATGAAATGAAATGGGGTTTAAAGTCCTACTGTTCTGCTCCGACTGGGATAATGAAGACGGCATACGCCACACAGTGTGCTATGAGGTAAATTTTTCAAGGACAGCGACACTACTCTTATATCGAATTCCATACTTCCAAGGATCTTTTACGTCCACTCAAATGTGCACACGAGACCCCAGTTTTTCGTACCATCCGAACGACTATACGCTGACTCTTGCCAAGCCATGTGTCCTACACAACTGACAAGGGGGAACCCCGCCGGATAATCCCAATAAACTTTCTCGACCAAGGCATGGATCGATAGCGGGGCCTCCAGGTTGGCGAGCCAACGTCTTACCAACTGGCTACCTGAAGGTCATACGCCACTCAGGGTGCCTTGAGGGAAATTTTGCCCGGAAAGCTGCGCTACGGCAAAAACTCATTACCAATTCCATCTATCAATGATTCTTTTACGTGTGCGCTAATTGTACACTGGGCCTCAGTTTGTCGCCCCATTCGAATAGCTACTCTGTCCTTGCCAGGCCCTCAGTCCTGCGCGACTATTAGCCTATCTTTTGAATATTCATTTCACTTCCTTATATTCCATTCTATTTAGTTTCAGTACAACAAGAAAGAATTGGTTGATTCGAACAGGATGAAACCAGGGGTTTTATAGGCAGTTGGCATCCACTCGCTGGAGTCCCTGTTCTCGAGGGGGGGTTGGATGGCCGAATGGTTAGCACGTGCGTGCTATATCATACCGCCTGTCATCGAGTCAACTAGCGTGGTTTCGAATCCCCGGTTGAAGGTGACAAGGAGTTGGGTCGCCTGTCCAACCTCGTGGGTTTTCTCCGGGTCCTCCGGTTTCCTCCCACTGCTAAAGACCCCTACGCGCAAGCGAATTATTGAAATAAAACTAAACCATATGTTGGTCCCGAAATGACCTAGTTTGTGTCGAGTGGACGTTAAACCCCATTTCTTTCTCTCTCTCTCTCTCTCTCTCTGTCCTCGTGAAAAGTTCCTTCTTACTCTTAGTCCCTAGACAACGAAATCAAAAGGTTAAAGAGGATGTATCCTCATTTATTTCTTTTCATTGAAATGCAACAGAAAACAAGAGTCTCTACAAAAGGAAACAACGTTGTTTTTCTCACAATTTGTTAAAATCAAAAAAAGAAAAACAAAACAAAAAACTTTAGTAAGTATTATCAAATACAATAAAAACAAATTGTGTGTAAGGAAGCACTATTATACATACTATTATATACATATATAAACTAAGATCTATTCTTGTGTGAATATGAAAGACATGATAGTTATACATAGTTGAATAATGAATAAAAAATGATATTACGCCTACGTGAACACTCTATAATAGTAGAATTCTTTATAAAAATTCTGTTTTTATAGTCATAAATTATTGTTTTGACTACATTTATACAGTTTTTTTTTAAAGATAAATTTATTTTTTTTAATATAAATCTATTTTCAAATGAATAATATATAAAAATACACTGCGAATATTGCAATAAATGTTGAATAAGTATTACACATGAATGAAATTGTCAATATATTTTATATTCATTAAATATTATTTACATTTTAACACTCGGGTATTCTAAACCTCGTCTAGTCAATAAATGCATCAGGTATCAAACATTGAATTATCTCATATATAATAATATATTTAAGTTCGCAATTCTCATATGAAATGCAGGGAGTTGTATTTATCATACAGAAACATAATAATTAACCTCTTATTTTAACCCTCATAACCTGTAGACGTTATCCAAACTATTTGAATTGTGCAAAAGCTTGACCACTTTTCTTTTTTTTTAATATCGCAGTAAGGGAGAGTAAGAATTAAAATGCTGTTTCAGTTACACACGTGCATCTGTAAAGAACGGGCTTAAATTTATGCGAAGGGACGAATTCAAGTTGTACTGCTATTTAAAAGCAGCAACTTTGAAATTATAAAACAAAGCTAGCCTTAGCATTTTACAAAATGTACCATTACTCTTATTTCGCCATTTTCGTTTGTAAACTAAATCAAACATTTCAATTAAACAAATGTATTATATCTATAATATGATCAACACAAACAAAATCAAACATTTCAATTAAACAAATGTATTATATCTATAATATGATCAACACAACTTTTTTTGCCGTCTGTTCGGTCTCTAAGTCGCCATTTTGTTTTATTAACGGCTAAATTAAGGTGGTTAATGCGACACATAATGAAGACCAGATCAAACAAATGTTAGATTTGTTTAGAGCACGGCCCAGCCCTTTCAAGAAATAATTTTGCTGTATTCAGATTTTGGTTATTAAATAGAACATTTTCCATTGAATTATTTTTCACGAAAATTATGTATACAAAAACTTTTCAATTATAAATCTATTTCGGGTTCTATTAAGTCGTAAAGTAAGTAGCGTTAGCTTTATAATAATATTATGAAACAAGCCGCCCATATTAACACTGAGAGTAGGGGCGTCTTTTTATAAAATCTTCTAAAAAAAAAAGGATTCTTTTAATAAGTATATCGAAAATTCAAATGGTGACAAATCGTTCGAAACATCAAACATAATCGTGTTACGGACTATATTTTTAAAGAGGCCACCAGGCACTAACAAAAATATGTCCGAACTGTCAATTGCACGTGCAAAAAATAAACCGTAAGATTGACATATTATGTTTTTTTCTGACACTCACAAATGTCAATGGTTGAATCCAATGTCATGTAATATTATAATTCAAAGAAGTTTTATTTATGAATAACTATGTCTATGTCAACTTTTTACCAGAGGAGGAATTTTAATATGTCAATCAAAGACGACCATGAAATTAAACCATTGAAAAAATAAATATCCGCGATTTTTAAGTCCTCTCTCAGTGGATTCGCATCACACTGGCATTACTAATACGCTAATACCTCAAAGTATGAAGAATATTGTGATGGTTTTTCTATAGACGGGGTCTAGCGTGAAATTAAATACGACCATTGTTCTGGTGAGACACATTAATTATTTGCCACGCGCTGTTGATTTTCACATAGTCTTATGTACATAGATACAGTTTTATATACATATTATGTAGGACCTAATTACATATTCCTCACATTTCCTTCCTAATTAGCACAGTTCATGCCCTGTGGTACAATTAAGTCTAGTCTGTTTTACAGTTACATAACAGTATCCTTGCTAAAAGTTAATCTATAGAAATCGATTAATCGATTACTTTAAGATTAGGCTACTTCAAAGTTTGATTCATAATAATGGTAACACTTGTATAAACATGGAACACTGCATGTTGAGGTTTTGGTTGATATATCATTTTTTGGTTTTTATATAGTCCATTAATAACACAAAAAACATAAATTATCTGTACATAGAATTTACACGGCGTACACCATAAGCGTCTGGTCGAGATTCGTAAAAGTCCAATTTTGGTTCCTGGGAACGCCGAACCTGTATAGGAGAATCGGTAGTATTTGGTCTACGGTTGCTAAAATAAACCGGATCCCTATTCAAAGGTTCTCCAGAGTACCGTATAGGGTTCTTATATCGGGATTCCGGGTGACGCAATTCCACGAAATCGGGAGAACTTTCATAATCTTCTGGGGGACTACTGATGTAGATATCTTTTCTTATGTCGTTAACTCGAGGGCGTGGACTATGTCTCATTGCATCATTCTGGTAATTGCCGTAAATAGGATCGCTTACTCTTAGACCTACGGGTTGGTGGGAATTGGCAAAACTGTAATCATCTTTCCGGAGGTTCGGATTACGTGAAGGATAAGCAAATTCCCCATAAGTTGGATTGGATGGTGTGGATGGACCACTGATACCCGACGACTTACTGCTATGTTCAGAACTGCTAGGCGAGTGAAGATCTATTCCACTTTCTCCTGAGGAATTTCTCAATTTTGATGGTTGTCGTGGGTCTTTATCCGTGCTGACTTCTGGGATCCCTGATACATTCAAATGCAAAAGACCTCTACGTTTCTCCGTTTCTAGAATATTACCATGCGCTCGACTAATTGTGTCGTAATCTTTCGGTGGGAGAAGTATGGGACCGGATTCTTTCGTTTCTGTCGCAATACCGAGTCGGGAACGCAATTCATCCGCCACAGAGTCGTATAATTTAACGTCTTTTAAACTTTGTAAATCCGAATCCATTTCGGCACTACCGAACACAGAAGAGTCATCACCACTGTAGTTGCTATCGTTGGATCCTGTTCCAGAGTTGCTCCCTCGAAATTCAGACACTGGCATATCTTGTGGATCGTCGATCTCACCCCAGTTCGAAAGTTTTATTTCTTCGTCATAAATCCGCTGTGTATTTGAGGCCACAATCTCCGATACTATATTAACAAACGTAGCTGCCGTTTCAGGTCCGTCGAATCTGTAAACATGAACGTGAACGTAACGTTGCGTTCGCGGCATAAAACCAAGATATATACAAGCAACGATATCGTCCAGTCGCCCATCACGACGTCTACTCTGCGTCGCATATGTGACATCTGCCGCTGGAATGGTGGGAAATTTAATTTTTTTAACACCTTTTTTCTTCGGATCACCAGTTTCCTGAGAAATTTTAAGTTCCTTTTTACTTACTTGTATGGTAAGTTTCGGCGGATTGTCAAGTTGTTGCTGGCGCTTTCTTAACTCTCTTATAACCGGATCGGTGTATTGATCTCCTCGCAATCCACGACATTCCATCCAGCCAAGAAATTCCACATAAAACTGACATTTTTTGTTTCCAAATAAGTCCTTTTCTTTAGATCTGCCTCCAGAAAACAATGACATTTTCACAAATTGTTTTTAAATCACAGAAAACACAACTCGTTGTTACACCTGTCGCACGGTAGAATATCCTGTATTAATGTATGTACATGTAGGTCGGTAAGGTAGGTATGTGTAGCCCTGCCTGATCATAAGCAAGATAAATTAGATAATAAAACCCATCTTTAGAAAGATAGATGACAACAAAAGCCGTCTCTCCTCTTTTCAGCTTCTTGTTTGTTCAAAGTAGGGTCCGTCTTCTGTGAGTATATCTCTCGTGAAGCAATAACACGTCTATATCTTTACCCTTGGAGGTTGACAAAGTATGCTGGCATTTTGCCAAGCAACGACACTTACTTCTCGCTCTAGCGAATCTATTGAGCGGTTTAGGCCAATAATGTAAGCATACTATATGAAAGAAGTTATTTAAAAGAGAATTACTGTAAACCATTTAATATTACACGTTACTTTTTGTCACAGCTTTCGATGTCTAAGGATTTTTTTCAAAGCTAATACTCTTCTAAAGTATATTATTAGAATGCTCAAAACTTCATTATATTTTTATGATAAAAACATCATTGAGAATACCAATATTATAGGAAAACAATGCACCTTTGTCGCCTTTGTGTACATTTATTATATCTAATGGCATTCAAATTTTACACTATAGTGTATAGTTATTTATGGCTTTTGAGACTCTTTATAATTTAAATAACCCTGAATATTGTCTTATAGGCCCTAAACACCGGTTGTTTTATGGACTTATAAATTTTCAGAAAAAGTTCAAGTATTTGAATTACAAAACCAAATTTTAGCTTATTCGCCCCACAAGGCTGAGAGACCGTATCTTTAACATTAATTCTGGGTATTATGTATACGGAATATTTAATTACAGAAAACTGGTTGTAAGAGTCGACAATAAATTGCTTTATTGTGTTTTGGATATCGAATGCAGGGACATGGTTGTATTGATTATTATTATTACATAGGGTTTTTCTCTATATCGATTTCTATAACCAGTTTCCAATAAACATGCGATTGATCAATTAGCACCAATCTTAATTCCATCATAATGACAGGTATTAATTACATTCATATGAAACGGGGTTTAAAGTAAAATTATTTCGTTTAAGCATATTGGTGATAATTCTGGTAGAATCGTAAAAGAGATCCAACTGTCTTGTGGTTTTACGTGTTCTGGATATAAAGGGGCGCCTGCTTGTCGACTTATCCGAATATACTTAGAAACAATTGTACGATTAGTCTTGTGGATCTCTAGCAAGGAGGAACCATGCTTGAAGTCAAGTCGGTATTAGGTATTTAATTTGGGTCATCCCATGTGTCAAATTTCCCGACTACCATGATACTCAAAAAACAAAATGGATGGCTGGGTTATTTTCGATGACCCTATATATTTACGGAGGAAAAAGGTATTCTTGGATTAGCAGTGATTGACACAATGTCAATCAACGAGTACTTGTTCAAGTGAAGGATTGAAAGCGACAAGGGTCGATGTATTGTCCACTACCCTGTTGACTTACTCGGGTGAGAACGGTATTACTTTAATACCAAACAATTAACTGTTTTCCATGTTCGGTCTGAATATCAAATATTAAGGGAGTAGCCATTTGTTCCCTGCGATACCGGCTCAATCATTACCGCAATTCGCAAACCTTGATCTTTATTTCTTCAAGTTATCAAACTTATCGTTAACAATCTCATGTGTTGAGTCCAAACATTTAATCGTAGTCGTTAGCATTTAAACCATTGTCCACTGCCCGGCCGAATCAATATTCAAAAGTTCAATGTGTCACGAGAAGACACGCCATCACCCTCCCTTTAAAATGGAGGCTTGGCCACATACTAAACATAACTTGAATATTTTATGATAAACAATGACATACCGATACTATATTAGGCTATCAGATAAAAGGGAACAAAGTGGTAGGGATTATATTGTAAATAGATTTCAAAACAGGTGTTGCGACATTTCTTCTTATATCGTCGTTAAAGTTCCGTCATCTTCAGTGATTCAAGTCCAGCATGTTCATCACTGTCTTTCTTCATTTTAAAATGTTTATATTATTTAGAACCCCTTTGTGCTGTTATTTCATTCGTGAAAATACAAAATGGTTGCTTTATTTAAAAGATTTCAAAACAGGTGTTGCGACATTGTTCGTGACGGTCAACCTTCGATGCTTTTTTTCTATTCATGGTGATCCATCAAATTATAGAAGACTGCACCTGAATACAAAATAAAAAACTTCATCATCGTGATCACGTTAATTTCGTCGTTTATATTTTCAGTTTGACGATGTGTTAGGTGAAATTACTCAACCATGTATATGAAGATCCTGTTTTTAAGTTGGATACATAAAGTCAGCCCCGTGTATACATTGGCATGCACGTAAAAGATCCCTTGGCAGTTGGAATTCAGTATAAGAGTTGGCCATAGTGCCGCTGTCCGGGCATCACTTCCCTCATAGCACACTGTATGGCGTATGCCCGTCTTCATTAGCCAAGTATAGGACCAGAATAGTAGGACGTTAAACCCCATTTCATTTCATTTCATTAACTCAGCACTCATCAACATTTTGTTTTTCACCTCCATTAGCCTAGTCGGTGCAGCATTTTCGTTCAAACTTTCGTTTTAGTTGTGGAGGCCATTAAAAGTAAATTCAAAATACCCTAAACGAAATATAGAACTGTAATTTAACCAGATTAAGATATTCCTCAAAAGAAACTCTTTACATATTATATCCCATTTCATTTCATTTCATTTCATTTCTTTACATATATCGTCTATAACATTGTAAAATCATTACCGAATACAAAAAAAAACTACTGCTTTTATCGAGAGCGGCATCAAGTTATTTGAGATGAATTAATCCTCAAATCTTAGGTTTATAATATCTTAGCTTTATATAATAATTGATGTTAAACAGAGCGTTGAAGTCTTGTTTGTAGCACCCGTCTCGATGTGTATATATAGTTGTGAAATCTCACATTAAAAAAAACCTCAACATGAAGTTAAAATAAATCAATTGTGTTTTTTTATGACACGCACTGGTGTGAGCAGGATATACGATAAGAATTTAATCTGAAAATAAATTTACGGAGAAACAACTGGTTAATTCTAGCTAGTTATCAACAACTATCTGAAGCTATGATGCGTTTTTGAGGAAACACGAACAATAGTACCTAGAATAACCATGTCCATAATATTTATCTGAAAATGAAATGGGGTTTAACGTCTTACTTTACTGTACTGACTGGGCTAATGAAGAATGAAGACCGCTAATACTATCTAATGTAGCCTACGTAATGAGGGATCATCGTGATTAGTAAGTCATTCATTCTATTGAGTCACCGAATTCCGAATTTGCGTTATACATATTTCAGGCCATTGCAATTCTAGAGATCACTTTGATTTGAAATGTTCAGATGGTAATTAGGCTATTGTTCCATAATCTGGGTTTTGATTTGCATATGTAAATGTAAACCCGGCCCAACTTTAAAGTGTTGTCTAATTAAAAGAACCTTTTACAGTGGGAATTGGGAAGTGGAGTAGGCGGAAACGCCACTGTCTTGGCAAAATTCACCCGCATGGCATTGTACACGTAACAAATGATATGAAAATTACCATTGTCTCAGCGAGCATTTAAACTTCATTACATTCGATTGCATACGAAGTCACTTCCATTAACAGATATAACATGAATGAAATGGGGTTTTATGGCACGTCAGCTTCAACCGGGTTATATTGCGCCACATTAACAGATATCGCGTAACCTGTGAAATCTATAGAACTGTTTCCATATCTTATTACGTTGATCAGAAACTTAACATATTAAAACTTACACGGCTCACACTAATAAGATTACACGACCACATGCTTTATTCTTACTTTGACGATCACTCCCGATCGATAACAAATAATTATTGATTTAACCTACTTTTGACTGTACCTTGACATGTTCATACTGGATGGTGTAAAATATTGAGGCCCACTCGTTGATTTAATGAAATGAAATGAAATGGGGTTTAAAGTCTTACTGTTCTGCTGCTATACTGGGCTAATGAAGACGGGCATACGCCATACAGTGTGCTATGAGGGAAATTTTGCCCGGGCAGCGGCACTATCGCCTACTCTTATATCGAATTCCAACTGCCAAGGGATCTTTTACGTGCATTCCAATGTATACACGGGACCTCGGTTTTTCGTCTCATCCGAAAGACTAGACAGCTGTCCTTGTCAGGCCTTCCGTTCTACACCACTGACAAGGGGAAACCACGTCGGGAAATCCAGATGAACTTTCTCGGCCAATGCAGGGATCGAACACCCGACCTCCAGGCTAACGACCCAGCGTCTTAACCACCATAGATTCTTAACCATTCATAGATTCACCTGAATACTGAAAATACATAGAGTAGGGTACTTTTCACAAAAACGCCTTGAAAACGAATAAAATATATGTACGACTCGTAAAATGAAAGTTCAAACGTGTTTAGATTTGTGTCCAATAATGTATTCAATCAAATATAAACATACAATTTGATTTTCGGGTTCTCATAAAAAAAAATAGCCACTTGAATCACATGAAATATGTTTAGTATAAAATTTCAAAACTTAAAAATTTGGAACTAAAAGCCGTTGAACTCTGCAAACCAGGTTTTTAAATTAGTCTCTTTTTTTCCGAAAAAAAATTAATTAGAACTGTAAAGTCAAATCGAAATTATAGTTTTACCAACCGACGATTACTCCCGAAGTATCACCCCCTTTAAGTTCAGAATGGAATTATATATAAGGGAATAAATTATTCTTGCAGGCTGAGAGAAGAGTAAACCTGTAGCTGTCTGTATCAAACACGAATTCGAGATAAGAGAGTTGAATAGGGGTTATATATTATTGTTATTCTGACCCTTGAAATATATAAAGGAGTTATATTATATAAGAGAACAAGTTGTTGAATATATCTCCCCTAATAAAACAATAAATACTTAAACTGGATCTATAGAAGCTTTCAACTACTGTAACGGTGGTTATTGTGTTAAATAGTCTACTTCGTTGAATTCTTCTAATGTGTTAATGATTGTTTTGTTGATTGTATTGGGGTTAGGTTATAGTATTCACAAGGGAACATCTGGTCGTATTAAAATCATGTTAACATTGTTTTTCGTGTATCGAACATCTCTAATTTCCTGTAGCTTAAGTGTATTTAATGAGGAACAACTATACTGTGGTACGTTAGACACGATACTTTAATATCGCGAGCATCACCCGTCTCAGATTTTGCATTCTAATTCGTGTTTTTAATTTCGAATAT